TTTGTCTAAAATAAAAGATTAAAATGTTTTTTGGGTACAGGGTTGCATGACTGAGTAATAGTCATTCAAATTGTGACAGCACTGAAAAAGTAAAAATGGCCTGGGCAGGAAGGGGGTGAAAGAATTCAGTATTGAGGTGGGGATGTCAGAAATACTTTGTTCAGTCTTTCAAAGAGCATGACTTCCTTCTCCTAGCTTCCAGTATGAATGGACAATGCTGCCTTTTTTAAGACAACCTATAAAATATTATAGGAAAAACAGCAGGGTAATACCATACTCAGAGCATTATAAATATTCCAAAATATTTTATGCATTACATGTTATTTTAGTTGTTACAGCTAGGACTGTAAGAAGTTTTCTTGCCTGGGAATAAACTTCACAAAGAAACCACGACATTTATACATATTAATTGCTTCAGCTACCACAGGAAGTCAGCAGGAAGTGCTTAAATCACCTAGTAAAATACTTAGAATTCATGAGAAATATTATGCTGTAATTCTGCAGACAGTGCTCTAATCTTCACATCATTAAATATGGTTGTCTGCATAATCTTCTTATCACCTTGATTGGTAGTTGTGCCACAGTTATTATTTGTGTTCAACTTGCATTTGCAAACTTAAAAGTTATCTAAGCCAAAGAACAAATATTGTACAGTATATGTTTCAATGACCTGTCCTTAGATGTGATGGCTACATCAGTGTTCTTATTTTAAGCTAACTGCATTTTCCACATTCACAGAAAATGACCTGTTCATCCTGCCAGAATTCCAGTGTCCTATACTACTTTGCACTAAATTAAATTAAAATAATGTTATCAGCCTTCACAGCTAATTTCTGTAAACTACAGAACCCCCACCACCACCACCACCTCTGCATGGGAGATGAGAAGAGGATGATATTTTTGTACTGCAAAACAGGAGAGCAGCCTAGGGTGACATCACAGCTCCTTCATAGTTACAGTACAGAAGGTGAGCATTGTTACTCTAGGGAAAGAAGTGTGCTACTGGCAGGATTATCAGGTAAAAAGAAAAGAAAAAAAGCCTGAAAAAAATAAACCACACCACACACCAAATTTCATGGGCTTCACTATCCCACCTATAGGCCCAGGACTTGCATGGTGGGTGTCACTGAGTATAAGGGAGGGAGAACATCAACTGTTCATTTGCTGATCTCCCCTAGCTAGAAAAGACCTGGAAGCAATGAGGGTTTCTGCTGTCAATTTCCCTGGCCACTGTGGCTGTGGAAGAAGCTAATGGAGCATGATCTGCACTTTCAGTTTCAGTGAAGTGCAGGGGAGATTTCAGGGCTTAACAAAAGTAAAGTTAAAGAACCTGCTATTATATATTTGCTATCACATAGGGTACATCCAGGCAAAAAAAGAAATGTAAGCATCCCACACATGCATATATGTACATAAACACATACAGAAGGGGGGAGGGCAGCTGATATATTGTGCTTGTGTGCCTTAAAATAATTTATGTGTATTTTTAAAGTGAATATTAGAGCTTGATAAACTATTACACTGATATTGGGTTACAAGAAAAATTGGAAATACCACCATTTTATTCTCCACGGTCTTACTTTCAGAAAAGATATACTGTTTGGGGGGTTTACGTCTCTAATCTTCAGGCATAAAATGTGCATTTTAACATGCATACAGGAAATGCAAAAAAGGCTCTGGCAGCAAACGGGTTAAAACAGAACTGTGGTAAGGTTATAGACATTCAAATATTTAAATATCCATAAACTGTAGTATATGAGCTGTAATGCAAGCCCCACTGACCTCTGTAGATGCAGGCATTTGGAGTTTTTCATCCTTAAAATTTGCAGCAAAACCACTTTCACTTTCATTTTCAGTGGTCCAACTGCGTTTGCTCCCCCTCCCTTGGGCAGCTTTCTTGTCTTAACTGCTTTCTGCCTGCCCGCTATGTACTGTGGACAGGCGATGGCTACAGGCAAAGCGACATACCCATATATCAGTTCACTCTTCCGGGTTTAGAGCATGCATGCGTGCAGCCCCCGCTGACCCCCACTGTCATTCTCTGTAGGAGATGCATTTCAGCAGGTCTCGGCCAGTGATTTTGGGCTGGGACTCTGCTGAGCTCCTACAGGGAATAGAGAAGCAGAGCTGTGCCTGTGTTTGTAAATACAGGCACAAGATCTACAGTGAAGGAAATAAGTATTTGATCCCCTACTGATTTTGAATGTTTGCCCACTCACAAAGAAATGATCAGTCTAAAAATTTATTGTAACACTAAGAGACAGAATAGCAATAAAAAGTTCAAAAGAAATGCATGTCTAACAAATGATGCACTGATTTGCATGTTCATGAGGGTAATAAGTATTTGATCCCCTTCACAAAACATGACTTAGTACTTGGTGGCAAATTCCTTGTTGGCAATCACAGAGGTCAGACGTTTCCTGTAGTTGGCCACCAGGTTTGTACACATCTCAGGAGGGATTTTGGCCCACTCCTCTTGGCAGATCCTCTCCAAGTCATAGAGGTTTGGTGGCCGACGTTTGGCAACTCGAACTTTCAGCTGCCTCCACAGATTTTGAATCAGATTAAGGTCTGGAAACTGGATTGGCCACTCCAGGACCTTAATGTGCTTCTTCTTGAGCCACTCCTTTGTTGCCTTGGCCTTATGTTTTGGGTCATTGTCATGCAGGAACACCCATCCACAACCCATTTTCAATGCCCTGGCTGAGGGAAGAAGGTTCTCACCCAAGATTTGATGGTACATTGCCCCGTCCATCATCCATTTGATGCGGTGCAGTTGTCCTGTCCCCTTAGCAGAAAAACAGCCCCAAAGCAGAATGTTTCCACCACCATTGTTGACAGTTGGGATGGTGTTCTTGGGGTCATAGGCAGCATTCCTCCTCCTCCAAACACGGCAAGTTGAGTTGATGTCAAAGAGCTAAATTTTGGTCTCATCTGACCACAACACTTTCAACCAGTCCTCCTCTGCATCATTCTGATGTTCATTGGCAAACTTCAGATGGGCCTGGACATGTGCTTTCTTGAGCAGAGGGAACTTGCAGGCACTGCAGGATTTCAATCCTTGTCGGCGTAGTGTGTTACCAATTGTTTTCTTGGTGACTGTGGTCCCAGCTGCCTGGAGATCATTGACAAGATCCTCACATGTAATTCTGGGATGATTCCTCACTGTTCTCATGATCATTGACACTCCACGAGGTGAGATCTTGCATGGTGCACCAGACCTAAGGAGACTAACAGTTGTTTTGTGTTTCTTCCATTTGCGAATGATTTTACCAACTGTTGTCACCTTCTCACCAAGCTGCTTGGCGATAGTTTGGTAGCCCAGTCCAGCCTTGTGTAGGTCTACAATCCTGTCCATGACATCCTTGGACAGCTCTTTGGTCTTTGCCATGGTGGAGAGTTTGGAATCTGATTGTTTTATTGCTCCTGTGGACAGGTGTCTTTTATACAGGTGACAAAATGAGATTAGCAGCACTCCCTTTAAGAGACTGCTTCTAATCTCAGCTTGTTACCTGTATGAAAGACACCTGGTAGCCAGAAATCCCGCTGAATGATAGGGGATCAAATACTTATTTCCCTCATGAACATACAAATCAGTGCATCATTTTTAGACTGATCAGTTCTTTGTGAGTGGGAAAACATTAAAATCAGCAGGGGATCAAATACTTATTTCCTTCACTGTAGATGGAACTTCTCTCCCTGGATCCATTTTGTTCCAGGGAGAGAAGAAAGACAAATTACACATGAGTAAAAGCAGCACATTGCACCCACACACCTTAGATAGAGACATTTTAACCCCTTGATTGCCACATTAACCCTTTGATTGCCCCCTACCAGTGCCATTAGTACAGTGCCAGTGTACAGTATTTTTTACTGATCACTGTATTGCAGCCACTAGCGAGGTCAGATAGTATCAGGGTCAGTTAGCGCCCCTTCCAGCCAGGGTCAGCTAGTGTTAGATTGCCCACACATTATCGCACACTATAGGTCGCTGATCACCGTCATTACTAGTATAATTTTCTACTGATCAATATATTGATCATAAAGTGGAAGTGGAGTTCCACTTTAAATGTTTACCCTGTTTGCAATGTTCCTACATGAGCGTGTGCAGTTACTTTCTAACCCCAAACCAAGAGTTTTGGTTGTGCATATTAAGGGACCTTTTTTCCACCTAGCTGCCTGGGGAGATCCGTTTTCGTTTGCAGATCAACTGTAGAATTTATTAGTATGATGAAAAATGGCCCTTTGCAAGAGTTTGATATTCCTTGGGGGTTACCACACACACTGGCAATTTTTGCAAAGGATATTCAAATAAGGAACATCACTTACAAACATCAGGCTCTGGACAGATGATCTTGCTTGTCTCCTCCTGCCCTTCAGAGAGCTGTGTGATTTTCAAGCATTCAGACAGGGATATCTATAAAAAGGGTCAGCTCCTGGCCTGTGCTGATCATGTAGGCCAAATACCCTGCACTCTGGCTGGCTTGCTTTTTTCTGCTTTGAACATTCTTCCAGTAGAATGGAATTAGTGATAAATCTGAAGACCGTCTACATATACAATGGAAAAGGTCTGAATTTGCCAGATATACACACCCTTGGCAAATCTAACTTCCAAATGGTTTAGAGCTTCACGTATTTAGGCTCCATTGTTAATAAGAAAAAGTAACAGAACCATAGTACTGAAGGTTTGCCTTAATGATCATTTGGTATGCTTGTTTTTGTTTATTATTTGGAGACTAAAACTATTTAACCACTTGCCTACAGGGCACTTATACACCCTTCCTGCCCAGGCCAGTTTTCAGCTTTCAGCGCTGTCGTACTTTGAATGACAATTGCGCAGTCATGCAACACTGTACCCATATGAAATTTTTATCTTTTTTTTAAATAGATAGAGCTTTCTTTTGGTGGTATTTAATCACCTCTGAGTTTTTTATTTTTTGCTGAACAAACCAAAAACAACTGAAAATTTTAAAAAAAAAAAGGTTTTTTCTTAGTTTTTGTTACAAAATTTTGTAAATAAGTGATTTTTCTCCTTCACTGATGTGCGCTAATGAGGCTGCAGTAATGGGCACTGATGAGGAGGCACTAGTAGGTGGCACTGATGGGCATTGACAGGCATCAGTGATGGGTACTGAAAGACAGCACTCATATATGGCACTGATAGGCGGCACTGAAAGGTGGCACTGTAAGGTGGCACTGACTGGCACTGTAAGGTGGCACTGACTGGCACTGTAAGGTGGCACTGACTGGCACTGATAGGCAGCACTGACGGGCACTGATAGGCGGCACTGACTGGCAATGATAGGCGGCACTGACAGGTGGCACTGATTGGCAGCACTGATAGGTGGCACTGATTCGCAGCACTGATAGCTGGCACTGAATGGCACTGATAGGCAGCTCAGATGGGCATTGATAAGTGGCATTGATGTGCACTGGTAGGCTCTGATATGTGGCATTGATGAGGCACTGATGGGCACTGGCAGGTGGCATTAATGAGCACTGACAGCTGGCATTGATGGCCACTGACAGCCGGCACAACTGGGGCTACACTGATCATCAGGGCACACTGATCATCAGTGCCCTGATGATCAGTGTAGATGTCCCCTCTGAGGAATGCTGATTACCAGCTCTCCTCTCGAGCTGCCAGCGTGACAGCTCGTGAGGAGAGAAATGCCGATAACTGGCATTTCCCTATTTACACGTGATCAGCTGTGATTGGACACAGCTGAACACATGACTGAGCCGACATCTTCGGCTCTTTCCGTAGATCGGTGATCCGCTGTGTCTGAGGGACACAGCGCACCACCGATCGACACTCCCAGAGCCACTCATGCGCTGTTAGAGTGGGAGGACGTCATATGACGTCCTCCCAGAACGAGAGTGCCCGTCATTACCTTATATGGCAGGTGGGAGATGGTTAAATGTGTTTGTCCCCAAAACTCAGCCATAGTCTAACCATTTAGGTAGAACTGTGGCCAGGCTATGGGCAATCAAATAATTACATATTTCTATGGTCTCCTTTACAGAGGCAAAAAGCACCCTCTTGCAGAATCCCGCGGCAAATACACTGTGACTGGAATCCCAGGTATTTTGATCAGTGATAGCAGTTAAGGGTTTAGAACTGAATGACAAAGCCGTGGCTATAAGCAACTTTACACATAAATCAACACATCCAGTGATTACCTGTGGTTAAGGACACAGATGAATGGGGTCCAGAAGAAGACAACTGTCCCTAATTGATAGTAACCACTGAATGTGTAGATACCTGCAGGTACATGCTTACAGCAGAGGTAAGTGGCAGTTCCTGTCTGCCAGTCAATTGGTTATACAACCTGAGTAGCTGCCATTGATCAAAATACCTGGAATCCCGACCACAATTAACTGCAGTGAGTTTGCTGTAAGAATCCACAGGAGGGCACTTTTTACTGTGTGAATGAGGCCTAAAAAGCAGGACATCAGCTATAAAGCAAGCACTCACTGGCCAATGTAACTGCAATTGTTTTGGTGTTATTTATCCTCACAGTTTATAGCAAAAACACTTACTTTCATTTTCAATGGTTCAATTCATTTTGCTCCAGTCTCCTAAACTCTCATATTTTTTTTTTTAGCGCTGCACTTTCTTACATATACTACTGTAGGGGATTGTTATCTTCACCTTGTGTGCTAGATGCTCCCCAGATTTCGCCAGCGCTCACCTATATATTAGATTTTATTAGATTCTAATATAAACACATAACAAGTACACAGGAAAAGGGTTGCTGAGTGTCAACTTCAACAACCTCTGCTGTGAACTTCAAGTATTAATTGTTCCACTGTCCCTGCAGTTACAGAGTTCAGCAAGGACTTGCCTTAAAGTGATTATAAAGGATCTTTTTTTTTTTAAATAACAAACATGTTATACTTACCTGTTCTGTGCAATTGTTTTTAACAGATAGCCCCAATCCTCTTCTTCCAATCGGCACTCCTGGCCTCTCCCCCCTACCGACTGCCCACTTGCTAGGGGTGCACTTGTGTGGGCTCAATCTCAAGCTGTGTGCATCTACTGACTCTGAAACCAGGAGCTGTCAGTGACAGCTTGGTCTCCGTGCTGCGGCACCCCATATGATTAAGGCTGGTGTAGTCATGCATCAAGTGCTTATTTCTAATTATTTTTAAGCCTGTTCTGCATGGTTTTTTTTTTTTGTTTTTTGCATGTACAGTGTTATTGCTCATGCATGATTTATGTTGTTAAAAACTGAATATGAAAATTAAACTATGACCTATGGCAGCAGTCCTTTAATGGTGGACCGCAGTCCGCCAACGGCCCCAGCAGTCCGCAATGACAGATCTGCCACTGAGCAGGGTGGTCGTCATGGCAACATGACATCACGTGTGCACCTCGTCCTTTTCAGCTCACTGTCTCTCGGCTCCCACTCCCTGCCTGTACACAAACGTCCAGCAAGGATCCTGGCAAAGCTCCTGTCTGCCCTCAAGGTAGGGTGTAGCTTTACAGGGACACTCTGATGGACACATTGAATGTTAAGGGGCACTCTGATGGGCATTACATAAAACGTGCCGATCAGAGTGCCCCTTAACATACCATGTGCCCATCAGAGTGCCCCTTAATATAAATGTGCCCATCAGCATGCCCCTTATTTTATGTTAAGGAGCATTCTGATGGACAGATTTTATGTTAAGGGGCACTCTGATGGGCACATTTTATGTTAAGGGGCACTCTGATGGGCCCATTTTATGTTAAGGGGCACCAATGGGCACATACTGTGGAAAGGGGAACTCTGATGGGCACATGTGATTTAAATGTAAGGTGGCACTCTGATGGGAATACCTGATGTAAGATGGCAATGTGATGGGGATACCTGATGTAAAGGGGCACTCTGATGGGGACAACTGATGTAAAGGAGCACACTGACAGGTACACCCTATTCGGACCTCGGCCAGAAGAAAATTTTAGTGACCGGATCTCCTTTAATTTTAATTCAATACCCTTGACCTATGGCATATCCTAATGCATTTAATTACAGCACATTTTGTGAATTTTTATTTAATTTTACTGATGCAACACATTTTTTAAACATTTGTGTCCTAAGCAAAAATTTCCATTACAAAAAAAGTAGAGATTTACAGAAAGGAAAAGTGAATATTAGTGTCGATACCAGCAGAAAAACAGTACACAGCTTGGTTGTACATACATCTTATAATGTACCAGGGGCGGACCATGAGATGCCCCTGGTACCTTTTTCATAGGCTTTTTTGAGTTTGGGCAAGGACACAGGGGCCCCATGATCCCCTATTGCCCAGGGGCCCCATGAGTTGTCAGTCTGCCCCTGTAATGTACTGTAACATGACATAAAAATTTCCATCAGAGGCATGTTCCTGTTGTAAAACTTCAGGTGCTGAAGGGATAACTGAGATGCATCCCACCCCAAGTAAAATAACTGCAATGGTAATATACAATATGTAACTGATATGAAAATCAAATAAGAAAGGAAGAAGAATATAGCATAAACCATGTGTAAAAGTCAGCTAAGATCTTGGTAGTAGGTTTATGTAAGCATGAGGCCCCTGATGATGTCATTGATGATGAAACGTATAGGAAGGAGTAAGGCATGTGACATCATTGTGCACATGGACGTGGCGGCCATCATGTTGGTTTGAAACAACACTGGTTGGATATAGCACTGTGATATTGTGTTGTGCATTTTTATTGGTTTTTAAATGTGAGTTTATCTCTTGGATTAAATTCTATTTGCATTAATATACTACACTATGAGATGGCTTCTTTTCTTTGATCTATGCATTTTGGATTGTTGCAATCTGCCCAGTTGGAGCTGACTCATCTATTAAAAGTGGTACTATTGCGATCAAAGTTGGAAGTTGGAAGTTCTGCTGTGACAACCTATGGTGGTATTTTTTCTGCACAATTTGACTGTTCCTGATGGGTGATCAAACTATTTGGTAAGAGGCAGTTCATTTGGTGTGGCGGTGGAGGTCTATTCACCCTGTTTTTCTACTCTTGTGAACACCATCTTTCTGAATCCACCTATCGGGGACTTTCAAAGGATTATTGACTTTTTCCTCTCATCTGTACCGTCTGATTGGATTGATGTTGTTAACATAATGGACAAGCTTTATTGTTTGTTCTTTGACCTGTAGTTAGTGCTGCACTGTTATTTTATATATATTTTAAGCATGAAGTAATATCTGTAGCACACATGGCAAGAGCCAGGGGTCATTGTGCAGTCTAAGGTCAAACAATAGTAGATTCCTATGAGGAAATGTCAGCAGTCTCCAGTATAAATATAGCATAATGGGAGTTGCCACTTAGGGCATAGAGGTCAGTGTAATGACCAGAGAGCAGGTCAGGTTGACTCATCAAGTTCTAAGGAGTAGTACATCCAGCCAGACCAGATGTCATAGAATTTCTCCTGCTTGTTCTGAACATTGTATACTCATCTCTGCTTCTGTTCCCCTATCTACCTCTTTCCTTCAGTCATAGTATAGTGTAGTTCAGTGGGCTTATTTCCAAAATCTTGATATAAGGCTTTTAGCCACATTTAAATGGTGCTGGGCAACACTATATTTTTATGACTTGAGGCAAGATAGAGTATCATAGAATAAGTAATAGATGTAGGGTTTGAGCATGGTTTTCTGGATCCCTCCAAAATGTTTTAATTTTGGGGCAGTGCCACACTAAGTATTGTTTTAAAAATGATGGAGGAACAGCAGCTATTTGTCTCATCATTTAAAATGGAATCTAGACTCAGCAGATCCTGCATGGCCCTGCTGGTATTAGCATTGGAACAGCTGGCAGTCATTGACACCCAGGGTCCAGCACTAAGCCCTGGAGCTGAAACAATCAGCTGCTGGGCTTTCACTGCTTCTACAGATTGCTCAAAGTAGCATGCAGTGGAAGTGAATGTACTGTAAGCACTATGCTTTTGCATTGTGTTTATGTACATCAGTACATATCTGTCAGTACAAAAACTGTTTCAGCTCTATCCAGCCTCTCCCTACACAAACAAATCATTGCTATATTGATCTATTGTTGTCTGATTACAGCCAACAATAGATTACTAGAAGTGATATTCAGCTGGAAGGGGTCTGGATATGCTCAGTGCAGAAAAGAAAATACAACAAAGAAAAGGAAACATTAAATATGTATAATAACTATAAATACACATATCCCCAGGTTGTAACAAAGATGTTGGATGATCTGGATGACATTTTCATTTACTGCGTAAACATCAAATGCTCCCATAAGTGAACGCAATGTCATTCTAATTTTTTGTGATTGCAACCTTGTGAAAAAGTTGCTATCGTTCTAATTTGTTCCCTTGACAACCTGACTTAATCTTATCTTCATGTTACACTAGCAATTTACTCAAACCACTTCATTCCTCTTGCATGAAATGTAATGTAGTGTTGAAAGAGGGGGAAAAAACTCTACTAAAGTAAAACATGTAAGTTTACTTTGAGCTTTATCATTCTACTATATTACATGAAAGTCACGCTAATGTGATATCATTTTAATCATAAGACTTTTCAGAGTTGCCAACAATTCAAAAACATTTCCAGGTGC